AAAAAATAAACCTTTGGGAGACTCAAAGATTCATGCTGTGCACCAGACTAGAGTCACGAGGTGCGGAGCAAGCGAAAACCATGGGATTAGCAGATCTAGACTATTGTGCCCTCAAACATGACAGGAATGTAGTAGCTAGACTAGAGATATCTTGTAATTGGAGAGTGACCATTTGGCTCCCCAATTAATATGATGTTTGTAACAGTCATAAAAATGGAGGAATACAACACTAGCCTTTAAAAAAACTCGACCCGCGGGGGGTAAGACAGCCCTGGACATTGTGCTTAAGAAGATCTTTTTTCTTCAAGTTATCATAGTTTTCTCTTAACGAGGGTTTGAGCAGGAACCAATATTCTCGATAGTTGGCATTGTCCGCGGTTCGTACTTTTCAATCAACAACGATGGCAAGAAAGACAACATCAAGGACACCTCTCAGTGACCCACAACACTCAAAATAATACCCAGAGGGATCCTTCAAATGCAACCATTTTCCTAGCTACTGCACCAAATCAAAGCAATAACCCAACTACACATGTCCCACCCATCAGCCCCTTTGAGGAGTTCACCTTCAAGCGACAACCACCAGCTGCTAACAACACGGTGCAACATTCAGATTAGGCAACACGAGGCATTCAAACGACACTCTTCAGACACAACGAGATAGAGGAGTTATCATTCGATGAAGAGACATAGTTAGGAAGCTTGTATGATCAACTACGTGAGAAGAGAAGAAGGGTTGATCAATTACACATTCCAAGAATGCCCATACATTTAGACACAGACCACTTGACCACCGCGGGGGGGCAAAATGGTCTAGATGGTCTTCGAAGCATCGGAGGGTCATGGGCCCTTCATGAAGTTGCTTCACCTCAACTCGATGACCCCATGTGCCTCCCTGAGTCCTCCTCTAGGTTTTGAGGCCCAAACTCAAAAACCACTCTTCCTGTATTTTTTAGGCCGAGAACACCAAACCCTCCTAGGCCATCTAGTTGTATGCAACCCTCTGATGTGGACGTGTGTCCTTCATGTCCTTGGCCCGTCGGTCCACCAAGTGCTCACGATGCCTTGCCTTGACTTTGTTGAACCCTAACCTTGACAACTTTTGTCAATGTTGTCTTCATCACCATCTCCATGTTTGTTGTTGCTCTTCGTCGTGTCATGTGCTAGCCATACTTGGTCCATCCTCCAGACCCTTGGTCACTTGATGCAAGTATTCGTGTTTACTCTCCACCATCCGTGGTCCATCAACCCAAACTCCTCGCTTGACCTTCTCCATTGTTGTCGACCACCTTAATGCACTTAACCTTGCACATTCACAAGCCAAGAGACATGCTGCACAATACATACGAACTCGACATCTTAGTTGGAATCATGCTAGAACCAACTCAACCAAAGCTCGATCATCTCACCTTGACAATAACTTATCATCCTTGACATGGACAAATATCCACCATGTCATCTCATAAGCTGAATTGTTCAATTAATTGAGCTCTAGGTGCAGACTAAATTAGCAGCACACACCGCATCTTCCTTTTGTAACTTAGTGAACCTCGAACCTTCTCTTCTCTTATCAAGCACGTCCCCTCTCTGTAGATAAATAGAAGATGGGGAAAAACATGTCAGATCATGCCTTTGAGGAGGGTGACATTTGATATGTATATAGCCAAGGTGGTTTGGGTTACAAGAATACAACGTGTGTATATGACACTTATCCATAAAATTCTTTATATCTTTAGTACCCTTTCACAGTCACAGCAGGAGGACTTCAAGTTTGTAAACAACTATACGGGCAGCTCTTTAGTCATGATGTCTGCAAACTAGTGAGAGGACAGGGCATGAAGAAAGTGAACTAGTCCCACAGTGACCTACTTGCGGTCTTGCGGACAAACTGCATATCAATCTCTCTGTGTTTTGTGGCGCTGATGGAAATGCCTTTCTTCGTTTGGTAATGTCTAATGTCATCATTAATGATGACGTGTTTGTGTTGCAGATAGCAAGACAAGCCAACAATGTTGCACGAGGACGAGCAACTGCAACTGCAACTGCAGCTATAAGATGCTGAAAACCAACTGACAGATCATTGGAAGGTGAGTTCAGTTAGTCATTTAACAAACATGTCGGTTAGACACTTGCATAATTTGCACGCCATTTCTTTTGGTTGAGATATGTCTACCTGTATTTCAGCTCAGCACTCGTGCAAATGCACGGCCGCCAATATTCAAAACACAAGTCTGATTTGGACAACTAATTTGTCGATCAACTTGATATGAGATTACTAATTTACTAATTTATGCGCCAACTGATTTTTGGTACCCAAAAGTGAAGAATGTGCCAACAACTTCAAGGTATAGGCGGCGTGTGGTGCTGCAGATAACAGTGGCATGCCAGCAATGCTACATAAGGAGATGCAGGTGCAACTGTCGTTTGACAGACTGTTTGGAGGTGAAGTCAGCTAGTCACTCAATATGGCACATGTCGTATTGCATTTTCCTCTCTTTGAGAATTTCCCACCTTGATTTTTGATAACTGCTCGTGCATATGATTTGCTCAAACACCACATACCATCAAGTTCACTTATTTTTTGGATGAAACCATCAAGTTCACTTATTGATGTTTGTTGCACTGAACATAACCGATGATTACGCCTCATCATACAAGTTGCTCCATTACTGATGATGTGGCTGAGGTGATATGCAAATTCCTAACTATATAAATAGAGTGCATCAGAAGGCTGAGCACAAAGAGTACAGAGATCTCCTTCCTTTCCCTTCCATTCCACACAGAAGACAGAACTGAAGCATACAGATCATCACACCATCCTTCACAACAATGGCCTGCCATCAAAGGTCTACAAGTCTGCCTTCTTTGCCTCACTCCACTGAATCCAACGTGGAGCAAGAGCTGCAGACCTTGAAAGCTCGCATCTCGTCGCCTTTGGCAACCATTGACACCACGTGCGATGGTCTGAGGCAGCTTGGGGACCTCTACAGCTGCGTAGAGGAGATGCTGTGCTTGCCCAGCAACCAAGCCTTGACGCAGCAAAGGAAGATGGCGGAGGAAGAGCTCGACAGGTCTCTTGCGCTGATCGATCTCTGCAGCGCCATGCAAGAGAGCTTGGCGGAGCTGAAGACTGGCGTCCAGGAGCTGCACCTGGTGCTCAGGAGAGGAGAAGACGCAGCTGTCCAGCTCAAAATCGAGTCGTTCGTCCGTCTGGCGAAGAAGGCACACAAGCCTCTGAAGAAGACGACCAGCAAGGCTACTGCTGAAGGTTGCAGAGTGGTCATACTAATGGCAGAAGCCAGAGAGACGGCTGTTTCTCTGCTTGAATCCGTGTCGCGGCTCTTGCCGGAGCAAATTGGCGGTCCAAACGCGAGCAAATGGTCCCTTGTGTCCAAGAGGTTCCAGAAAAGAAAGGTGGTGTGCGAGGAGCGGCAATTGCGGGCGCTTGAGCGCACCATGGGTGACCTTGGAGATGGTGTGGGTATTCTGTTCAGGAGGTTGATTCAAAGCAGGGTGGCTCTTCTGAACATTCTTAGCTCATAGATGCTTCTAATGACGTACACGTTCCCAATTTGTATCTCAACTCCAATAAAATGTAGATAAACCAGATTGATTGAAGACGGTTTTGGTCGTACTAGTACCTTTTTGCCGCATCATTGATGTTCTATGCATGCCTCTTGTACCTATGTTGACAGCTAAAACTAAAATATGACTAGGAGAATGGAAGATTGGACTCGAAAATCAAATGCTGTAAAAAGAGTTAAATTTGGATAATTTTGCAAACATCCAGAAAAGACGGGCTCAGGCTCGTTTTGGAACCGGCCTGAACCGGTTTTAGCAGTCTGAGGCCAAATCAAGATTTTCCTGTTGGAACTTATTTTGATCTACTGTGAAATTTATAAATTGCATGTGGAATAGGTTTTACTGGAAAAGATCACCAGTCTATTTATATGAGAGAATCATGGTTGATTAAGTGATCCATCTACCCAATCAATCATAATCAAAATATTATATTTTTCACCTTTTCTTCTACGCCAACCTCTTCCGACCATCTTGTTGTTCACCACATCTCTCAACGAGATTTGCCAATATTCAGGTGGCCTTGCCGATATATACATATCACCCATAGAACAAAATGGTCAATGTATGCATCATTCTTATAGACTACAAATAGCCGATGAACTTGACATCGTCTCTATGGCTATCATGTGTTTTTAAACTCGCATTCGTTTAAAACCGAGGGGGCATATGTTAACATCTAAAATATGACCAGGAAAATAGAAGATGAACCGGAAAATCAAAAGTTTAAAGAGTTAAATTTCATTTTAAACAAGTCACCACTGGAAATGTATTTTCAGGAACGATTCTTTAAAGCAGTCCGCCCTAGAAACACACTTGCATGAGCGGTTATCTTAGGCCAACTGCCCATGAGAATCCATTTTCAGGGTCGGATGTTAACTGTCCCTGGAAATGCATTTTTAGAGGTGTGGTTGTTATAAGCAATTGTCCTTGAAAATGCTTTTTAAGTGACGGTTGGGTCAAGGAGTGGTTGTTTTTTAAGCAACCTCTAAATATCGTATTTTAGAGGTGGATGTCTTTTAAGGAAATAGCCACCCAAAAAATGCATTAAGCTCTGACACTATAAATGGTGTATCTTTATGATTGATGGCATAGTGTCGGTTTTAAAAGCTGCCCCTGAAACTTTTTTTGACTGGCCCTAAAACCGACAAATTTAACTTTACCCATACATGTGAGGAACGTAAGACTCAAATAACATGGATCGCGGCTCACTTGTGTGATTCCTTAGATTTGAAGAAAACCATGAACTCCTTTAGTTTAGAGACACAATAATGGTTCAAACGCTTGCATACATGCATATATATACCATCTTTTAGTGAGTACATATATACGAATTTAAACACACATCCACACTGTTGTCAAATAGAGAAAACACAGATCCACACATCAAAGCAGATAGGTGAGGCCGAGGAAACTGAACTTCAGGGGTAGAGCTCGATGATTGATCGAACACCTAAAACTGGTGTAATCTTGTAGTCACTGAAACCAGCTTCAAAGATAATATTCCTCCATTCTTGCTCATCTCTCTCAGTGCCGTTGACAATCATGAAGAAGAGATCAGACATGACCTGTGTCTCCCTATTCTTAAGATTTGTAGGCCCTGCACCAACCACGGTATCTACTATGATCATCACTTTGCCACCTGCATCTCGTGGTGGTATGGCTTTCGTGCAGTTCCTTAATATCGTGACGCACTCAGAATCACCCCAGTCGTGCATAATCCACTGAAATAAGAAATCAAGAGGCAGTGTTATTCCTGGTTAGTGGTCCTCTTAACATTAAATCAGAGATACTAGACTACTAGTACCTACCTCCCATACTTCCTATATATGTTCCGTATATGAAGTATATGAACTATCAGTTTCTAGTACTGTTTGTAGAAGTCATGTCACTTAAGGTAAGAAAAATACTTGAACAAACTTTTTCCATAAACTGTGCTGAAGTCACATCTGATAAACTTTTCATGTTTGATTAATATGAAGGTTCCACCTGAGGACCAGGTCCCGTAAACTCTTGTTCTGAATTATGATTGAATATTCAACCTACCACATAATCTATACAATATCAAAAGGACTAATCAAGGCAGTCACCTCACCTGTTACAACAAAACAAAATGCATGTCTATATCAAACAAAATGTGAAACTAGCTAGAAGTAGAAGACATACCTTGAGGAAGACTGCGTTCGCTGGTGGAATGGCCTGAAACATGTCAGCAGCAACGAAACTGAGTCCGTCGCAAGTGGGAGCGGTGGCAACGACGTGTGGAAGATCAAGCACGGTGCACTCTATGCCAGGGAACGCCACTGAGATGGCCTGCGCCGCCGCACCATGGCCCCCGCCGACATCGACGAGGGAGCTGATCCCTAGAATGTTAGATAATCCACTATTACCTTATGTGAACACAACAAGGGAAATCGGTACCGAAAAGGCCCCCTGCTGTGATACTATAGCCGCCGTAGGTGCAGGCGTCGCACGGCTCACCTGCAGCATTGTAGACACATGTAGTGGCCGACGTAGAGTCAGTCCTGTATGTTATTTAGTTCCTGTAGCAGCATGGCAGCTGTACTAGGACTAGAAGGATAGAGTTGTATAAATAGGCTACCACGACAACTCAGTAAAGAGAGTTCAAATTTGCCATCTCCTATACAGGGCTCCAGCCAACGCTGGTGTCACTGTTGTGTGTGTATGCTCTGTTCTCCCTTCTTCCTCTACCTCTAGCCATAGTGTGTGGTTGGACAACGTTTGTTCATGGTCGGCACGGCTAGTGAGTGCTCGACAACACTAGCAGGTACTCGGCAAGACTGGTGAGTGGACACCTCACCTGAGCCGGTGATCCTGTGGGCCAACAAGTGGTATCAGAGCCGTACAAGCGCCGTCGCCAGACTAACCGCTGACGATGACGGACGGTTTGGAAGTGGGCGACAACAGTGGCACTGCTGTGGCTACCCAGCCACGACCGGAGGTCGCTGTTGCACGGTGCGGGAGGTCAGCGGCACCAGTTGGCCGACGCTGACTCGCACCAACTATGGAGAGTGGTCGGTGACCATGAAGGTCAAGCTCAAAGCCCGACGGCTCTGGAATGCTGTTGACAATGGCACCGACAATGAGGAAGATGACATGTCAGCGTTGGAGGCTATCCTTGCTGCTGTACCGGCGGAGTACAGGGAGCCGTTGGAGGCGAAGAGCTCTACTAAGGAGGCGTGGGAGGCTATTGCGGCGATGCGCGTCGGTTCCGACCGCGCAAAGAAGGCGACGGCCCAGCTTCTGAAGCAGGAGTACGCCAACCTCAAGTTCAAGGATGGTGAAACGGTGGAGGACTTCTCCCTCCACCTGCAGACACTCATCAGCAAGCTGAAGAGCTACGGCATCACCATCGACGAAGAGGAGGCGATCTCCAAGTACCTCCACTCCGTGTCGGCAAAGTACATCCAGATCACTCTCTCCATAGAGATGATGGTGGACTTGTTCACCCTCACCATTGAGGATGTGACAGGCCATCTGCGGGCGGTGGACGAGCGCCTAGAGTAGGCGACAGCAACGAAGGACAGCGGGAAACTCCTGCTGACGGAAGAGGAGTGGGCTGCTTGGAGGAACTCCAGGAAGGCAGCCTTCTCTAGCCGCGGTGGTGATGGCAAGCGCCGTAGCAGGACTTCTTTGAAGAAGAAGAAGCAGGTCGACCTCAACGCCTGTCGGCGCTGTGGGAAGATGGGCCATTGGGCACGGGAGTGCCCAAACCACAAGCAGGAGAAGAAGGCCGAGGCTCATCTGGCGCAAGTCAGTGATGAGGATGAGGCCACTATCCTGATGGCGATGTTCTGTGCACTGCACGACGTCGAGGCCGAGGAGAAGGTGGAGGTGATGGCGGTGGAAGGGTCTGGGAAGGCCCTGAAGGCTGTCAACATCAACGAACCGTGCGCCTAAGTCCACCTCGAACATGTGGGCGCCGACCAGGAGCAGAGGTGGTATCTGGACTCCAGTGCCAGCAACCACATGACGGGCTCCAAGAAAGCCTTCTCCGAGCTTGACAACGATATTATCGGTACGGTGAAGTTTGGTGATGGCTCAAGGGTGAAAATCCAAGGGCGTGTCACCATCATCTTTAGGTGCCAGAACGTGGAGCATCGCGCGCTAACGGATGTATATTACATCCCGCAGCTACACTCGAGCATCATCAGCATTGGCTAGCTGGATGAGCGCGGTAGCGAGCTACTGATCAAGGATGGTGTCCTTAGGATCAGGGACCGGGAGTAGAAACTTCTAGCCAAGGTGAAGAGGTCCTAGAACCGGTTGTACCTGCTCGACCTGAAGGTAGAGCAGCTGGTGTGCCTGGCGGCAAGGCATACCGAGGAGCCATGGTTGTGGCATGCTCGGTTCAGACATCATAGCTTCGATGCGCTTGGTCGGCTAGAGAAGATGGTCCGAGGGCTACCCCACATTGCGTATGAAGGTGAGCTGTGTGACAGCTGCCTGGCCAGGAAGTAGAGAAGGCTGTCATTCTCAAAGGCGGCCAAGTATCGCGTGAAGGACGCTCTCAAGCTTGTCCACGGCGATCTCTGCGGGCCGATCACACCAGGCACTACGGTGGTCGGTGGTACTTCCTCCTGCTCATGGATGATTGCAGTCGCTACATGTGGCTGCAACTCCTAACGATTTAGGATGAAGCGGCGACGGTGATCAAGAAGTTTAAGACGCACGCGGAGGCCGAGAGCGGCAAGAAGCTCCGCGTGCTGAGGACTGATCGGGGTGGCGAGTTCACTTCGGTAGAGTTCATTCCGTACTGTGTGGATAAGGGTGTGGCACGACACCACACCACGCCGTACTCGCCACAACAGAATGGCGTGGTGGAGCGACAGAACCAGACGGTGGTCGGCATGGCTCGATCCATGATGAAGGCCAAGGGAATGCCGGCAAGGTTCTGGGGAGAGGCGGTGACCACGGCGGTGTTCCATCCTCAACCGAGCTCCCACTAAGGCCCTGATGGGCAAGACGCCATTCGAGGCTTGGTATGGGCGGAAGCCGAGTGTGTCCTTCCTCCATTCATTCCGGTGCATCGCCACGCCGGAAGACAAAGCCGAACCTCATTAAGCTGGAGGATAGGAGCACACCGACAGTGTTCCTGGGCTACGCGGAGGGTACCAAGGCGTACCGACTCTACGACCCATGCGGAGACAAGGTGCTTGTCTCACGCGACGTCGTGTTCGATGAGAAGGCCGCTTGGGACTGGAGCAGTCCCAGCACGGGGGAAGCTAGTGGCTTCACCAGCAACTTCGTCGTCGAGCACTTGGTCATCCACAGGAGTGGAGACGCTGGGGAAGAGGTGCCGAGCACTCCAAGAGGAGCGCCGAGTACTCCAAATGTAGAGAGCCGAAACACTCTAGGGCGAAGCCCGAGCACTTCGGGAGGGATGCCGAGCACGCCAGGAGTGGTGCCGGGAGGTTCTGTAGTGGTGGCGACCACTCCAAGATGGGTGCCGAGCACTCCTGTGGCGGAGCCAAGACATCTTGCAGTGGTACCAACCACCCCAAGACTGAGGCTGAGCACTCCTGCAGTCGTGTCGAGCACTGCAGGAGTTGTGACGAGCTGTCTAGGTGCTCTACCGAGCACTCAAGTGGAACAGGGAACTCCATCAACGCCAATCGAGTTCGCCTCACCTCCAAGTGACATCACCGAGTTCGTGGATGCCTACCACAGGTGAGGAGGTGCGGTTCCATAGGTCGGGCGACATCGTCGGCGTGACAGTCCCTCAGTCCAAGGGTAGGCTACTCAATGATGCAGAGCTGCTACTAGTCAGTGTAGAGGAACCACCCATGTTCGTGCTAGCCGAGGCGCGATGGAAATTGGCGACGGGCGATGTTGGGAGATGAAGGTGATCGAGGAAAATGAGACTTGGCAGCTCATCGATCCACCTCCAGGATGCCGACCGATCAGCCTGAAGTGGGTGTACAAGGTCAAGCGGGACGAGCACGACGCTGTTGTCAAGCACAAGGAACGCCTCGTGGCCCGAGGCTTTGTACAGCGTGAGGGCATCGACTTTGAGGAAGTCTTTGCGCCGGTAGCGTGCATGGAGTCGGTCCGTTTGCTACTAGCCTTAGCAGCAACAAATGACTAGCGCATCCATCATTTGGACATTAAATCGGCCTTCCTCAATGGCGAGCTAGCAGAAATGGTCTTCGTCAGGCAACCCCTAGGCTTCGCCGTCAAGGGAGAGGAGCACAGGGTGCTCCGACTGCGCAAGGCGCTCTACGGGTTGCGGCAAGCCCCGCGAGCATGGAACGCCAAGCTTGACGCCACGCTGGGCGACCTTGGGTTCACGAGGTGCACAACTGAGCACACACTCTACATGTGGCGACGGGGGAAGGAAGAGCTCGTCGTTGGTGTGTATGTGGACGATTTGATCATCACCGGCGCGCGTGCGGAGGACATCAACAACTTCAAGCGTGAGATGGCAGCTCATTTTTCGAATGAGCGATCTCGGGGCACTCACCTACTACCTCGACATCGAGGTGTGACAGGGGAGGGAGGCACTCACGCTTGGTCAGAGCGCATATGCCTCGAAGTTGTTGGAGTGGAGCGGCATGACTGAGTGCAAGCCATGCGTGACTCCAATGGAGGAGCGGCTGAAGCTGACGAAGGCCAGCACCGCGACGAAGGTGGATGCAACACTCTACCGGAGCATCATCGGTGGTCTGCGCTTGTCGGTGTTTCAGACCGGGGGGGTCCTCAACCAACCAGTAAATGTGAACTGCGTGCCCCTAGTCCCGGATGGTGATGCAAAGAGATACAAGGTTTATACTGGTTCAGGCAATTGGCGCCCTACGTCCAGTCTAGGAGATCGATCTTGTATTCCTTGCATCGAAGTGCTTGTGGTAGGGGGTTACAAGCTGGCTGAGAGAGGGAGCTAGTCCCAGGTCTCGGCGTGGAGTGGTGCGGGCTGCTTGAGTCGTTGCTCTCAGGCAGCGTGGGAGCGCGCGTGAATTGAGTGAGTGCATTTTTGCGTGAGGGCTGGTGTGGTTTTTTTCGATCCCTAGAAACGGCCCTGGCTGCTTCCTTTTATAGCCACAAGGAGGGAGCCAGGAGTACATGAGAGAGCTACACGTGGAGTCTTAGCGAGAAAGGAAGATCAAGATCACATGGCCTATTCCTCAGAGCAATAATACAAAGGTCGGGAATGGTAATTGGTACTTGATCACCGGGCGTCAGCAAGCCATGCCCGAGGCTGTTGAAGTCGTAAGGGTCCTTGTTGACGTCTAGTCAGTATGGCCTCCATTGTAGGTGACATGCCGTGCCTGGTGGACTCTTGTCCTGGTGGAGTGCCGAGGCCTTATTGGTGCTGGAGCTGATCGTG